CCTCACCAACCATAGTATCAATAGTTATTCAGTTTATTTAATTCTTTCCTTTCCTTTTTTTTTTTTCCATATGTACCAAACAAATTTACTGTTGCATAAGTTTGTCAAACTATTTTTGAAATTTAACAAACTTTTTACTCTTTATTGTTTCTTCCTCTTCTTCCTGTTTTTTTTTTTTTACACTGAAACAGATTTACATGAGATTTTTGAATAAATATTTATCGTTTAATATTTTTTCTTTCTTTTTTTTTATTTCTGCATCTTAGCAAATTTTTGCAACTACTAGAAGATGCTACACGTATAGTGACGTACGTAGCAGGTAATCTCACACGTAAGAAATTTCGGAGAAAGAAAAAAAATTTCGAATATAATTGATTAATTGAAATAATTTTACCTATAAGTATTCATTATAAATGCATTACGAGACGTTCGTTAGATGAATGAATGAGTAAAAAAAAATTAAACTTGTAATTATCTAAATATGAAACCTTTCTATATCAATATATCCCGTATTATATATAGAATTTATATTTTACGTGGTCACGTCGCATCTTACGTAAGCCATTTAAGCGTTTCATATTTACATTTTACGTGATCACGTCGCATCTTACGTAAGCCATTTAAGCGTTTCATATTCCATTAAAAAATTTCATTTTATTTAATTTCTTCGATTTCATACTTTGGTAAAATTTTCATACGATAGTATGGAATAGAAAAAAAAACTTTTGATACAATAAGATATGATAAGATTAGGTATAAATTGGATTAACTTAAAAATTAAATTTAAAAAATTTATTAAACTTAAAAACTAAAAAAGAAAAAAAAGGATTTAAAGGTTATCTTAGACATTGACACAGCGTAAGATTGAGGAAACAAAAAAAAATACCTGATTTTTGGACTAGAAACATAGCATAAACGTATAATTACGTGAATCCTCATGTAAATTTAAAGTAAGATGTAACACATAAGAATATGCAATCTATCACGTAACACGTAAATTTATACAGATGCATCACAAACACGCACGTAACACGTAGATTTGTACGGATACATCACAAAATTTATACAAGCAAAGTGGTTACGGATCAAATTGCGAAAAGAGAAAAAGAAAACGTGAAAATATAAGTGATAGGAATGTATGTATTTATGAGAAACCAAGCAGATAATACGAAGAAAAGTAGTAGGAAAGGTTAAAGGGGAAAAAATTCGAAATTAAATAATTAGTTAATCATCTTAATTTCAAAACGATTTGTTAAACAAATGTTACCAAATCATTTGGAGCAAATGATACATCGAGAAAAAAAATCGAGAACTGGAAATCAATGATTGAAATGGTTCGTTAACCAAATGAAATTGGATTAACTGAAATAATGGAAAATTGGAAATGAAAGATCGAAATGTTCAATTAATAAGTTTCGTTGTTGGCTGGATTAACTAGGATGAATGATATATTAACAATCAAGAATTAGAAATTAAAAGTGAAAATGTTCCATTAATGAAGTATTATTGAACATTAGACTAATTGGGGACAATATCATATCAAAAATCAAAAACTAGAAATCAAAAATTGGAACATTTCATTCGCAAAGTTTTATGCCGGTCAAATTGACAACCAGTGAACAAAATGGAGTAAAAAGTTGATGAAACCAAAGATCGAATTATTTCTAAAACGAAAAAAAAATAGGAATGCAAAATTCAATCAATTTATTTTAATCAAATATTAGAATATTCAATAACTTATTAAGAAATTTTAATTTTATTAAAATAATGGAATAATTGATTAATTCATTAAGCAGTTGTAGAGAATGACCAAAAGATTAAAGTTTAATAGTACATGCAATTTTATGACATTATACATTTTAGGGGAGGAATTGTTGCAGATTGATAGACGGAAAGTATGGATAGATGGACAGATGGACGGATAGATGGTTGGTTAGTTGGTTGGTTAGTTGATTCATTGTGGTCACTCTCTTACCTTCCTATCCCATCCTCTTTTCCTTTTCTCTTACATCCTGAAATTTGTATTGGTCATCTCTTCTTATCGCTTGTCATCCTCAAACATCCCGGTTATTGCTATTCTTCATTTTAACAATTCGATCTCTA